AATTCAAAGTGTCCTGCAAGTGTCTAGCAACTCTATTTCTAATTCTAAAATTGGAAACTAATTAACAATTTCTAATTCTAAAAAGTTATAAATTTAATTCAATTTTTTCTCATCAATTTATGAAACCAAGATATACCTGTGCTCGGGTGGGAGAAGCTGTGAATGTGAAGCGTGAGCTGTGAAGAAGCAGTTAAGGCCAATTGCAGAACAGGAGGCACACGGAAGGTGACCGGCGTCGGTGAGAGCAGAGACAAGCACTGGTGAGAGCAGAGACAAGTGCCGGTGAGAGCAGAGACAAGTGCCGGTGGAGCAGAACAACAGAAAGCAAGGTCGATGAACTGAAGTGAAAGAAAGTATCAGCAGAAAGCAGTTCCGAACTTCCGATGAGAGCAGATCCGCAGACAGCACAGCAGACGCAGAGAGCAGCTCCGGTGAGAGTAGATCAGCATAAAGCAGAGCAGGTCCGGTGAGAGCAAATCAGCAGAAGGTAGAGAGCAGAAAGCAGATCAGCAGAAGGCAGATAGCAGCTTCGGTTCGGTGAGAGCAGAGAGCAGCTCCGGCGAGAGTGCATTAGCAGAAGGCAGAGAGCAGGTTCGGTGAGGGCTGCAGATCAACAACTGCAGAAAGCAGAGAGCAACAGAGCAACGTCGGCGATCGTACACAGCAGAGAGGGAGGGGAGCGCCGGCGGTGTAGGTGAGGGTAGAGACGAGAGGCAGAGAACTTCGGTTGGGACTTGGGACTTGGGACTTGGGAGGACCGGAGGAGTCGTCCAGCTCGAGGGTTTTCTAATTTGGTGCATGATGATTTTGTAATTTTGTTAAAAGTAAGGGTTAAAATCGGTATAAGAAAGGGATGGTGGGGTGAAATTGGAAAAAATGGACAGAAGATTGCATTAGAAATTGAACCGGCGGTTTTTTCGGTTTTACCGGTTCCACTGGTTCCACCGGTTCCACTGGTTCCATCGGTTCCACCGGTTTTGATCGGTTTTGATTGATTTTGACCGATTTTGACATCAAACGGTTTTTTATTATGAATCGAACCATTTTCATTATCAGGTACCGATTCGACCGGTTCAATCGGCCGGTCCAATCCGGTTTTAAAAACCTTGGTTGAAGTTCGTTGAAATGCTCTGTTTCTTGGTGTTCAACTTTGGATGTTAATTACTAAATAATTTCAGCACCAACAATTGCTGGGGCTTTATCCTTTTTTTCTCTTCTTTATGCGTATGAAATTTCCCAAAACCACATGGAACTTTCATCTGAATATTTTAGCGAAATTTTGACCTTCATGTGAATGCAAATGGGACCATACAGAAAGTATTTCACAATTATGAAATATGAAAGGAAGAAATTAGATGAAAAAATTCAAAAGGAAAGTGATCTCGTATCTTCTCTTTTTTCTCTTTTCCAGGGTCAATAATTACAAGAAATGGGCCAATCAATTTACCATCAGCTGTCATCTCATTATAAAAGTGGAGAGGGAAAGTGATCTCGTATCTTCTCTTTTTTCTCTTTTCGAGGGTCAATAATTACAAGAAATGGCATGTTCAAAAAAATAATTACAAGAAATGGGCCAATCAATTTACCATCAGCTGTCATCTCATTATAAAAGTGGAGAAACATAAACCTCTCCTAAGCCATTTTAACTCCACCAAGCAATTAAGCAGTATAAAATTATCAGTATAAAATTATAAAATAATATGAAAAATATCAATATAAAGAAGAAAAATGAGGAAAGATATATATATATAATTAAGTCTAAAAATAAACAACAATAACATAAATATATGATGATAAAACAAATTAAAGAGAAATACAATCCTAAAATAAGAAATTAAGAAAAATATAGTATGTGAATAAATAGGATAGGAGGGAATTAAAGAGGAGATGACAAAGAAAAGAAAAAATAACACCGAACAATTTATTACTACAGAGGCAAAAAATAGATCTAGAT